ACCTTGAAGCGGATGGAAGAGTTGTAGAATAATTTTGAAATATACGGTTTTTGTGGAATCAGACCGTTACTTAATTGTCAAACCCCGTACAAGGGGTATACCGGCACACGCATTTTTCTAAACTCGATAATTCAATTTCCACGTACATATGTATGTACACTCGGTAGAGAAAGTATTCGTACAAGTAGTGCGACAGCTTTCTAATCTCTTCTGCTTGTTATTAAATATTGAATAGCAATGTCGTCCAAAGGAAAAGAAATAAGCTCTTCTGAAAGAGAAATTATAGTTAAACCTTTCGAAGAAGGGAAAACATACCATGCAATCGGTCGGATTGTTGAAAGAGCACACTCTTCCATCCAAAGAGTGATAAAAAATTATAAAGATACCGACATTTTAGTCTCTCGGCCCCGTACAGGATAGCCAAAAATATTAACACAGCGACTTCAGCATCCAAAATCGCCCAAAATGTTTAGGAAAATTTCGAGAAGACCATCTGCAGTGACACCATCCGCCAAATTTTGAAAAAAAAAGCAGGGTATCATGGCCATGTCGCACGAAAAAGCCTTTCATATCGCGAGTCAATAAGCAAAGACGTATTGCTTTTGCGAAGGGCACTTAAATAAGCCCCGTGAGAAGCAGAAGGTTATTCTTTCCGGAATCAAGGGGCGTACGATTGTATGGTGAAAACTGTGCACGGCTCTCGATAAGGAAAACTTGGTGCTCACTGTGAAGCATGGTGGTGGTGGAGCAATGATATGGGCGGGCATGGCCAGTAATGGTGTGGACAGAATGAATTTTATAGAGTCCGCTATGGGCAAATATGCATATCTTAATGTTTTGAAAATAAATTGGGTCTAGAAAGTGACTACTATTTTCAACAAGATAAAGACCCGTAGCATACAGCAGTCATAGTGAAGCTGTGGTTGCTCTACAACGTTCCCATGCAGCTGCCAGCTTTAAATCCTATAGAGAATCTATGGGATGCACTGGAACGTAAAATCCGCCAATGCACATTTATTTCAAAGGCTATGCTCAAGGACGTACTGCACGAGGAATGTGCTCAAATCTCTTCAATAGAAACCTTCAAAATTATTAATCCCATTTCAAAACGCCTAGCGGAAGTTTTAAATCTATAAATTTAATATCCCCTAATGAATAAAAATGAAATTGGATTTTTTCTAAAAAATATATATGTAAATAAGCCTTTTTTTAAAGAGTTATTTTGGTTGGTATTATGTACGCAGGTTTTTCTGCCGAGTGCATATTTATACATATGTACATCCTGTCATGGTATTGTGTCCCGCAAAATTGAGTGAAGAAATCGCAACAACAACAAAGATGAGTAAGTGAAAAATGAAGACTCGTTTGAAATCATTATTTTAATAAAAGTAGAAAAATAATGAAAAAAGTAACAACAACAAACTGTAAGAAAAATAATGCAGAGGAGTCATTGCCTGCTACGCGTTGGCACAATTCGCCAATATTTACTTTGTTGTGGTTGGTGCATGTTAAAAATTCACGCACACACGCTACTTCAGGCATGCATCGCCCACAGTGGGCAGTGGGTTAGAAAGAGAGTGGGAGAGAGTGGGAGAGAAAGTCAATAGTAATTTTGTGCTTAAATCCAGCTGGGAAATCAAACAGCTGATGTGTACGAAAATATCAGCTTTTAACCGTCTAGTTATAGTAAACCAATATAGGTGAGTGTGTGTGGGTGTGTGTGGGTATTCTCGCCACAAAGCCATACGCCATAAAATGTTTAGACAATCAGGTGCAAGCGAGCTTTTGTTTTGTTTTCATTTTCACGTCGTTTTTCATGGTTTTAATAATCACAAAATGTGGCATCTATCTAAGCAGGTGTACGCATACATATATATATGTATGTTCTTCTTCCCAGCCGGCGTAGACACGGCTTGTGCAATAACAGCCTAGTTGGCAAAAGCGCGCAATTTTTCTCTATTTTCGCTGCTTGGCGCCAATTGGAATTACCAAGTGAGAAGCCAAGCTCTTCTCCACCCTTTTCAACAAAGTGGAGGCATTGCTCATCTTCTGCTTCCACCGGCGGGTACTGCATCAAAAACTTTCAAGTCTGGAGTATTTTCATCCATGAGGACCACATGACCTACCCAACCTAACCGCTTTCCTTTGATTACCCGAACAATTGGTAGCGGTATTCGCCATTAACAACGCGCTGAGCACCATCTTAAATCTTACACGAAACCCTGCTCCCGAAAACTTCTAGTGCCGACTCATTAGATGTTGTCATCGTACATGGCTCCGCATCATACAGTAGGACGGAAATGATAAGGGTCTTGTAGAGACGGTTGTTCGTCGTGAGAGGACTTTATTTTTCAGCTGCCAAAGCCTAGTATAAAGTGGATTTCAAGGCTTCCAATATTATTGATGTGAATGCTGCTTCCAGGATGAACGAATGCGATGACTGTTTGTTTGATGACAGAGATATTTTTTTTTTCAGCACGAGACACACTCGCCTCCTTTTCCTTATCTAGTCTGAAGGATGTAGAACTCACGGGCCGATTGTTGATGCTGATGAGGTACAATCAGTTTGTCGACGGTTGACTTTAGTCTCTCACACAATACGCTTTATAGGACTCTAAATGCGATGTTGAGGCGGCTTATCCACCACCACCTTTTTATGGATTGCACAGAGTATTCTTAGGCTCGAATCGTCGCGCATGTTTTAGTCCAACCAAGGGACTGATGCATGCACCTTGTTAGTTCTTCGCCGACACGCTGGAATAACACTCTCGGTAAATCATATTCCCCGCCGCTTTGTTATTTGTTTAGTGGGCGATTGGTAAGGGAACTACGGCTACTGGGGTGGCTAAGCCATAATGGAACGTATTATGCCCTAAAGTGGGTTTTTTAGACACGTGGTTTTCAAAGAGGCAACCCTTTTTTCGAAGTATGAAATACGTATTTCGAGCAACCGAATCAAGTTTAATCTAGTGGATCCATTATCCAATGCAACAATTGGAACTGTGTCCATCCACTTTATGGAAGTTTTTGCGGAATGATATTAATTTACGGACTTAAAAATTACAACTCGTGTAAGAATAAACCATCAATGGCATCAGAGGGAGTTAATGGTCCGTATTTAGTCAAAATATAAGCCATCATAATCTTACAGTCAATGAAGGACGCTATAGAGCAAAAATAATGAGTTTTTCTTGCCTGGCCATACAATCAGCGAAAGCAACTTTTGGTGAGCGCATCATCTGTTGTCGTGGGCCTTTGGCATGACCTACCAGATCATGGGATTTAACACCGCTGGACTATTGAAAGCGAATATTTGGCGTGTCATATCTGACTTACGGTCCCAATTGCTACAAAAAATGGTGGGAAATTTATTCCCCGGCGTTCGCTTGCCCGAAAGCATTAGTAAAACGCTTTGGCGCTTTGTAAACGCTGAAGCGATTTTCGGCCGAGCTAATCCTCCTTCAAATCTTAAGGTTTTTAGAACAAAATGGAGGGATTTACAGTGAATTCTGTACCCCCGTTCGAGCGATCGTAAGATTTTTATGAGGAGGAACTTCGATTTTTATGACATAAATACACTCGGGGGACTTGACATTCCCTCCCAAAGAGCGAGCGCTATTAGAAAAATGAGTTTTCTATAACTTTGAATATTGATCGAACCAAGACTATAACTCTGGTTTTCCGAATGGCAGTACACATTGCTAAAAACCATTTGGCTACTGCGGCCGCTCATATTGCCCTGCATATGTATGTACATACCAATGTGAATACATACATATATAAATGAATTTTATATGAGAAAGTTTAAGAAATTATGCAAAGAGGACTCTTACAAGTATACTCATATACACATACACATATACAATACATAAGAAATTTAGCGCGAGCCTGCTGAGCTCGCAATTTCAGGCGTGATGTTTAACTGTAATGGATCTGTAATTATTCAATTATATATATAAAAGTAAACCAATATATATATATGTATACATATGTATGTATAGGCTAACCTGAAATATGTATACATACATATGTATGTATGTATTTGCCTGTGCAAATATTTTACTAACAAAAAATGCAAACAAAAAATTTTTCAGGCTAGGCGATTATATATAATGAATATAGATATATAAATATATATATATATATATATATGTGTTTTTACTTTAGTTATAACTGTATGTATGTAACTCAATTGATTGATAGTTACGTATATATGTGTGTGCGTGCTTTTTGTGCCATTGCCATTCGCTTTAATTAAATTTCAGGCAAATTCTATAAGCAAAAAACACTTTTCAAATATAAATTTAGCGCAAAAAAAGTTCCATAAAAGACATATGTACATACGCATGTATATATAATATTATATATTTACGATAATAAAATATATAAATATTTTGCATAAATTACATAAAGACGAGCAACAGCGTAAATATGTTTGATAAGTGTACGGTAGTGTACATATGTATGTATATACATTCTTATATTTCGTTATGTGAGTTGAAACCTTTACATAGCAGCATAACTGTTTTTCTTCTTTTTTTTCGGAATAAAAGCATTAAAAAGATTAAATTGACCTTTTTGTAGGATCGTAAAGAAAGTGAAAAAAAGCAAAATAAATATATTCCGCAAAACATTCTTATATTACATATAAATAACTGTGTATGTATGTATATATGTATATGCATCTGAAGAGGAAAATATATATGTAAAGGTATTTGCATATATTATACATAAAGTATTTATGCTAATGTATGTATATATGTATGCATATATGTATGTATGCGAGAAAATATTTGAGAAAAAACAAGGCAAAGAAAGAACATCCATTTTTTAGTTTTTGTATTTGTTTTTGTTTTTTTCCGAGCAAGACAAACATTCCACTAAATATCACAAACATATTGACAAATATGACATTCAATCATACTCGTACGAGTACATAACATATTGTATGTACACGTATGCACATAGAGATATACAATCAATATACTCTAAGCTCTTACCAACAGCAACTCATCCACGGCAGGATCTGCGCCGAGCGGATTTATCAAATTTAATTGTTTCGGATCGGATATTGGTTCCGTAGCGAATGCATAATTGCGATTAAAATTTCTCATAAACTGTAAATGAAAGAGCGTGTAAAGGAAGAAGTACAGAGAGAAGGAAGAGAAGAAAGAGGGGAGAAATCAAGTTGATTGTACATATACATATGTAATACATAATGACACATTATTTATTTGTATAAAAATGAATAATATTGGAGTTCATGATATGCAAAATTGTGGGGAATACAAAAAAAAGAAAATATCGGAATTGCCAATATTATACATATATACATATATTTTGAATAAATAAAATTATTATTTTTTTTTTAATATTTTGGGAAATAAAAATTTTATCTAACAAAATTATGCACTCTTAAGGTCTGCGGTTTAATGATTTCAGAATTTAGCCGTCGCAAGGCTGACGCAATGCTGAACCGCTATACGGAAGGTCAGAGACATCCAAAATAATAAGAATTTAAACCTTCTTTTTGCTGTCGGCACTCGGTAGAGCATGTGAAGTTCACCGAATTTATTTCTGACATGAAATGAGACCTCCTTACAAAAATTTATCGGCCGTTCTGAGGCGACTTAAAGTAAGATGTAGGTCCCTTCATTTGTTCGGAAACCTCAAGACGCATACCACAAATGGGAAGAGGAGCTCGTCCGCGGGTCGCTTCAGCGATTATAAAGCGCCGATTATTTATGTAAGAGGCTTGATATGGAAAATTCAACGGCTGACACCTATATTCGTAACAGTTGCACTGCCTTCGACACCCAAAAAATCGCTGGTACAGCGCTGAACTGCACCACCTTTAGTATGTGCTTCAACAAACTCTTTTTCAAAAGCACTTCAAACAGGATCGAATGAGAAAACACCAAAGCCCTCCATCTTTACAGACGACTCAAAGCTCAACAACAAAGTGGGCTTTGGAATCCACTCTACGGTACTCACTCTCAATAAATATAAGCATGATACTACCCACCCATTGCAGCATCTTTTAAAGCAGAACTCTTTGCAATTAATAAAGCCGCCGAGTGGCTGATCCAATCTACGGTAGGAGGACAATCAGTTACAACAGATTTCTAGAGAGTAAAAATATCACATTAAGAGTGGGTATAAAATGTTGAAACTCTGAACAGACTCCGCAATATAACCGTGATCTCGGTGGCCGGATGGTAATCCCAGGCAGGTGCACATCAGACCAACTTGTGATGACCACAACCAAGCACACATTGCAGGCATCCTCTGTTTGGCAAAACATATATAAAACTGGACTTTGCCGAAAAAGCAAATACTAGAACTGTGAATGAGACCACTGTGAATTGGACCAAAAAGATTAAGAAATCCTACCCTCCTGGTGCGGGTTTCTTTTAGCATAACGACAGATGGAACAACAGGTAAATAGTGGGGATTCGCCGGATAATAAATGGGCCATTACTCTAATGATTTTCGTTACAACTGCTGGGAATAAGAAGTGGAACAGTCTATTGAACATCGGTGCGCTTCTTTGACTGACACGCTGAGTTAGTTCCAGCAAAAATTGGTAATCTAGTTACTTACATACGAATTGGTTCGTAACTTTAAGATGTTGAAGATAGGAACCCCACAGCAGTATCACAATGGTCCTATCGGTATAAGTGTTTTGGTCCACTGTCCAAAAGCCGCATCAATTTAGCTCAACCCAAAACATGCCACTCTTAAGAGGCGACTAAGACCCAATAGTTACCGTGGCAGATGTTTTTTTATGCGGGAACGTCATGGATGGCAGGGTGGTAAGAAGTTGAGACGGCTGATCTTAAGAAGATCCCACAAATTAGGAATGTCCGTTGTCATGTCATATAGGAGTGCTATCTTGAAGGCAAAATCACTTCTACATCCGGGTACTGCAAGAATCGGATACTTGGATACTGTTCAATTAGAACTCACAGCATGTGTGTGATATTTTTGATTTTGCAAGAACTTGAAGCTTCATTGACTTGAGATGTTCCAATCATGCAGGTAGACGTGCGAGTTCGGCGCCTGTTAAGCTATTTTAAAGCTCATCTACCCAATAGGGGATCTACCTATAACTTGCTTTATTCGCAAGTTTCATAGCTTTACAGTTTCTAATGATTCTGCTGCGTAAGTCAAGTAATTAATGCTATGAACGCATGTCACTGCCCATCAGGGAACCTGGGACAGCAATAGCAGCTGGTTGATGCCCTGGGGAAGATCAAGGCTAACTTTACACTCGTATAAGAACTATGGTGAATATACCTTCGGACTGAGACTAAACTGCTTCGCCGCGTCTTGAAATATGGATGAAGAAGATGTATCAAGCAATATGGTTGTCTGCGGACCGAGAAACTTGTAACCAAACTAACTAAATATATTATGATATTCGGAAGATATCTATCCAATGTAGTAGATGTACGTACATGCCAAGGGTGTAAGATGTGAGGGACACAGAGTTTCACGATCCTTGGTACCACCGCTGCAGTGTTCTTATCAATTAGTAAGACATGGTCTAGCCAAGCCTAATCTCACCGTATCTTAAATAAACAAAACATTCCATCACATCAACGAATTTTCAAATATTTAAACATTATATAAATAGTATTTTTAGCATTATTATTATCTGTCATATAATTCTAAGCATATGCAACAGCCGCATGCCCCGCTTGAAAACTTATCTAAGAGTCATCTGAGTTATAAATATTCAGTGCTAAAATTTCATGTAAAACTGATCCATCACTGAAAGCCATTTAATTCAATTTACTCTCTTACCAGTATTCACCGTTATGTACTCAACAACTTTTGCATTGTGCACACCAAATTGGTTTATGATTACATCCATATGTTCACATGCTATGCACATCCATAAGCATTCGAGTAACTGTATTTATAAGCAATTTCAACGACTGTGGCTTTTACACCACAACCAAATAGATTTTGTCAAGCTCCTAAACAAATAGCAAGAGAAGATGTGTATGTTGCAATGCACATACATATTTGGCAGGAAAAATGCATACTTATGTACATGTTTGTGTATGTATGTATGTATAAGCAAAATATCAACTTGTATTGACAGGGTGTTCTTTATCACTAAACACATTTTCATGTCCAGTAGGGTGAAATAAAGATTATTAAAACAATATTTTTTGAGGAAGAAAAGCGAATGAGAAAGGTTAAATAAAAAATAACAGAGGAAAGAAAATCGCATAAATAATAATAATAATAAAATAAAATTAAACTAATTGAAAGATATAATAAAATAAAAAGTTTAATGATATACAAAAAAATGAAAAATATGTATAAAAAATAATATAAACTAATGTTAAATAAAAGAAAATGCAAACAAATAAAAAAATTACTTTACAAAATGAAATAAGATAACAAATAGACGAGAATAAGACAAAATAAAATAAATTGATATTATATAAAATAAAATGCAAATTTAATATAAAATAAAGTTAAATAAAGTAAAAGCACAAAACAAATTAAAAAAATATAAAAAAATAATATTGAAAAAATTTTAAATTCGAACTGAACAAAATAATATAATAAATAAATGAAAATACGACGTAATAAAAAAATTAACATTCAACAAAACACACTGGAATAGAATAAAATAAATAATAAAAAAAAAAAATTAAATGAAATTAAATATAAGAAGTAGTGATAATAATATATGTAGAAAATATAATGGGAAAATAAATTAAAGCTTATTGAATTGAAAAAAAAAAAAATAAAAAATTAATAATTATGATATTAAAAGAATAAAATATAACAAAATAAATAACATAAAAGTCTAAATAATAAACTCCAAAAAAAAAAATAAAAGCAAGTAAAATTGACATAAAAGAAAATAAATTACTTAAAAATTAAAGTGAAATCAAATAAAAAATGAAATAAAATAAAATAAAATAAAAAAATAANTTAAATTAAATTAAATTAAATTAAATTAAATTAAATTAAATTAAATAAAATGAAATTAAATAAAATTAAATAAAACAAAATAAAATAATATTACGGAAATTGAAATCAAAATGAAGTAAAAAAAAAATAATAAAGTGAAAAAAAATTATAAGAAATCAAATAAAATAAAACAAAGTGTTGAATGAAATAAACTAAATCAAAATATATTAGAAAATAAAATAATATTAAGAAAAATGGAGTACGAACGAAATAAATAAAATGAAATAAAATAAAATGTAAAGAAAATTAATTATTAAATATTTATATCAATCGTCAACAAAGAAAAATACAACTAAAATAAAGAAATGTAATGAAAATATAAAACATCACATAATAAAATCAGAAATATAAAACTATAAAAAATAATTCAAAACATAAAAAATTAAAATAAAATATGTTTTAATAAAATTTAATAATAGAAAATAATTTTAAGTGAAATGAAATCATATGAAATAACACAAAAGTGAAATAACATAGTATATAATATATAAAAGAATTGAAAAAAATTACAAATTACAGCAAATAAAATAAAAAAAAACATATTAAATAATCAAGATAAAATTAAAGTAAAATGAAGTTAACTAAGTACTCGACGCTTGACAGGACGACGTACAGACAGGCACTGAACGCCATTTACCAGGGGTCAGTCAACACCTTCAAAGACTCCCTTCCCGTGAATGGTGTGTTCGGAGACAAACCACCATCCAATGCAAACAGCGAGTTCGCGCTGTTTAAAAGAACCGCGTGATCTTGGTACAACTTAGGTCTGGATACTGTAGCGTGTCAAGCTCCTACCTATCCAAACTCGACGCCAGCATATATCCTGCATGTGGAGAGTCTAACCACCTCTTCCATTGCCCCCTTAAACCGACTCATTTAACCCCCCTCTCCCTCTGGTCCAATCCCGTCGAAACAGGACGTTCCCTAGACCTGCCACTAGAAGACCTGAGCGGCTAAACTTGATTAAACCTGTACCTAAGCGGGGTTAGCGAAGCGGTACAATAACAACAACAGCAGCAGATATGTTTTGGAAACGTCAATTCAGTGCAATTTTTGCCATGGATCGCTTCACACCGAAACTAAGCACTGAAATAGTGACACTTTACATCGAAAACAG